TTAAAATATATTTTAATGCTTTTACTGTGATTTACTTAACTTTCCTGTTTTCTCTGTATTTATTCTGCTCCTTTTCTGTTCCACATCAGTTCAACAAGTAAGAAAAAAACTTACTATTTTTCTGCATTTTTTTCTAGCAGTAACACACATTTTACATTTTTAAGATTTACTATATAACATAACTTAATTTCACAAATTTCAAAGAGTGTGTATTTAAATGGTTCACTACAGTTTAACTCAGAAAAATTACAACACATGATTCAACAAATACAGCCATAATATGACAAGAGCAGACTAAAACCCTGCATGTCATCTTCAGCAATTAAGCTTAAATGTTCATTGTGTAAACTGAAATCATATTAGTTACCGTACCTAAAAACAACAAGAGAGTTACAGCTGTGTATTTAACCAGTTCATTTCAGCTGTGTTAAAGCACTTGCAAGACTATGGCAGTTTCAAATTATTATGGTTTTACTAATGGTAATCACGACCAAAAATGACTTGGATAACACAGCTGACACGTAAAATGCAGCAGCAGCAGTCTTTGCATTTTTCAGCATGTGACGGCCCWGCTGCTCAGTTAATTGCAGCCAGCTGCCGCCTATTTCCTTAATTGTGCTTCCTCACAGGTCATCCTTAGGGGGTGTGGCCTGTGCCCTTTTTAAAGCGCGCACCTGGAGTGCTGAGGAGCGCGGTGTGGCTGGCGAGGGCTCTGAGGTTCATCGCTCAGCGGCTTGTGTTCGCTCTGTGGCTGACGGTGGCTTGTGCTGTCGGTCTGCTGCTGCTGCTCTCATACAGCATGCCTCATGGGAGAGACATCCTGCTGACGTGCGGATGCCGAGTCGGAGTTTTCGGAGCTAGAGAGAGGACACGGAAACGCGGACGCGGAGGTGCACGGAGGACACAGCACAGGTCCTCTGCTGCTGTTCACACAAATGTGTGAACAGCAGCAAAGGGAGATTGAGTAGTTCAGTTCCTTTCAATGAGGAAATTATTTCAGATTATAAATAATTGTAGCTAAGAGTTCCCTCCCCAAACAAATNAACGAGAGCACTGAGTCTTTACTTTCACCCCCTCCCTGCATGCTCGGCTGTAATTAGCATGTCCACGTACTTTTTTCTGATAAAAATGCTGGAACTGCTTACAGGAGGCTGAAGAACACCTCTATTCTTCTCCCTGCTGGATTAAAATAAAAAAGCTCTCGGACTTTCCTTGCTGTTATGTTCATAAAAGCGAGTAAAGAGCTGCCATCCAGMGTGTGAACCAGGCAGACACTGCTCATATCACGTTTGTTCTGACCGCAGTGTAAAAGTCGTGATGCAGGTTTCCTTCAGTGTACATTTCAAACTGTGCTCTAAAGTTAACGTCAGCTGGTTTARATGCATTTTTTGCCTGGTGTAAAAAACAAGCATAGACTGAGGCAGAGATGCTGTGTGTATGAAGTCCTCACAAAGATAGCAAGATGTATGTGTGTGTTTCTCTCCTTTGTCTCTGTGTTCCTCTGACAAGTTTTCTTTAGGCGTGTTGCTGTTTTTGCATCAAAAATGCTGGGATATTAAGTCATTTTATGTAAAAAATATATTAATCTGATTAATATACAAATTAAAAACAGAATATTTAGCACTAGATAAAATAAGTCATTAATTAATTAATTTTTTAAAGAAAGGGCCGAAAGAAGAAACCCTGCACTTCATACAGGCTGCACCAGACAAGGCTCAAAGTTTGTTTTTTTTTTTAATTGAGACCTGTGTAACATTTGTACTYATTCTTATTTTTATCATGTTAATGGAGAGGGGAAGAAAAGCCAGTATTGGCTTCAAGAATCAGCCAAAAATAATCGGCTGCATGTATCGAATCGGTATCGGCCTTCAAAAACCTGTATTGCTCGATCTCTACTTGTTAGCCACGGTTTACCGTGCTGAACAGCCACTGCCTCTGTGTGTGTCTTCCTGTAAGTATGAGGTCATAATGCATTCACACTCTCAGAAGCACTGTTTCAGGT